ATTTACATTTGTAGTCCTAATTAAATAGATGTTTGGTCAGAAAATCATTTTTTTGAAGGGGGGGNTAGTCCAAATATCTGTTAATAGGTTAGTTCCATATTGTGCTTCCTGGGAAGCGTATTACTACAATATAACACAAGTGTAGTAAATGAAATGTAGAAATTTGCATCGATTCATCATGCTGCTTCCTTATATAACAGCTTTATTCAATATAGGAGTAGTTCAGGCTGCTTTAGATAATAAAGGTAATAAGCTGGTGTCTAGTAGCAGCTTTATTTAATATAGGAGTAGTTCAGGCTGCTTTAGATAATAAAGGTAATAAGCTGCTGTCTTGTAGCAGCTTTATTTAATATTGGAGCTCTAAAGTATATGTATCTAGCAATCCACATCAAACTAAAGTGGTTGTATCTAGCAGTCCACGTCAATGTTTGTAATGCTAATCATGACTCGTGAGACCACCTAGACCAATTTGCCTCAAATTTTGATTAAGGAATTCTATTTTAGTACCGGACTATGCTTAGCTTGAAATTGAAGAAAATTCACTTTCAGTAGGAAATTTTAGTTTTCAGGCAAAGTTTTGTGTCCAAGCTTTCTTGATAATACTCTGTTGATATTTTTGATGGTTTTTACCGTCCTTTGCACAGTATTTATTTATTTATTACGATATTTTGTTTGAATTTATTTTTATATAATATCTATATCTATATAGCCTCATAACTTCCAGTGTATAATTTTTGTATGCCCTGTTTACATATCTGTATATTTGACCTACATATTTTATATTTAAGTGCAAAACCTCATAAAAGGATAAATAGATCAATTCTAAGCAGGGTGGATACTATATTTACTTTTTCAAACAAAACTCCTTTCACTGGGGAGCTAGTGATAAAAAATGTTGATATTTTATTACAGCGAAGACAGTATAACACTCTTGAAAAAAGCCTTTTATAAAACTAAAACGAAATACGTCTTGTCTGCAGTATGAAAAAATTTCATATTTTGATCTTTAATTCAAAATCCGGGGAAAACAGCATTAAAATTTATTTACTTTCATACTAAAAATCATAGATTAATTAAAATAACAGATGATACACAAGATGTCGTCTTTTCAAGATTTGGATAAAACTCGTTCATAATAACCATGATGCAGAAGCCCAGAGGAGTTTCGCGCAGTTGGCGTAGAATTACAAGACAGAGAGTGCCTGTTCTTCGCCGACTGCGTGAAACGAAACTCAGGCGTCTGCCTCAGGGTTATTGTAAACGAGTTTCATCTAAATCTTGAAAAGACGACATCTAGTGTCCTTTCTGTTATTTTAATTAATCTATGCTTAAAATATATGACAAACGAAAAGGTATAAAATAGCAACTAGGAAAAATATAAATTTGGGTTCGAAAGTTAAGGCTCACCATGCACATGTTTCCTCTTTGCAGGATATGATGTACAATGGAACCCGTAAAATTGTGGAATAGGAAAACCACTTTTACACTTAAGTTAAAATTCTAGATAGTCTAGTCTAACGATCATGAATAAGTTTATTTAAATTTTACAAGCTACTGCTTTTTGCTTTTTAAATTAAGATATCAATGTTGTTTTAATATTCCCCAGGTTTACGGGTCCTATAACTGTGTGCATTACAACTTTTATAAAAAAAAAATGTGTTTAGTTATTTAAACAAGTGTATTTACAGAAACAGAACAAAAAATGCATTCATGAATGATAATAAGTGTTAAGGTTAACGTACATCAACATACTTTGAAAATATATTTATAATTATAATTATTATATATGCATAGTTTTAATACTTAACTTTATGTATGTGTGCGCATGTACAGTGAGAACCAGAAAATAGTGGAATTAGCTAGTCTATTTTATCTTGAGTTATAAATAGAATTTTATGATTTCCAACTGAACCCTGAATACCAAAGACGATATGTATTCATCATTTTCAGGTTCCCAATAGCTTACGAAAGTATTTAGGTGTGGGTTGCTTATTCATGCAGATTAAGCGTATCAACTGATGCGGTTGTTTTTCGCCGAATGTATAGACTATAATAAAAAACGGGCAACGCCAGAAGTATTTTAGGAAACAGAAGAATTTTTAAACTGCGGAAGGTGTATACTGTATTTATATGTATCTGAGCTTTAACATGAATTCTATGATAGTTCAGTTTAAACACCTTGAAGTGTAAAAGAATTGTATTTAGGTTGCTTTATGCTTATATCTGATCAAATGAGACACTATACATACAGAGAGTACTTGCTGGCGGCTTCTTTTGACAGGTAGACAGGTAGACAGGTAGACAGGTAGACAGGGAGACAGGTAGACAGGTAGACAGGTAGACAGGGAGACAGGTAGACAGGGAGACAGGTAGACCGGTAGACCGGTATCCAGGTATCCAGGTTGATAAGTAGACAGGTAGACAGGTAGACAGGTAGACCGGTAGCCAGGTAGACAGGTAGACAGGGAGACAGGTTGACAGGGAGACAGGTAGACAGGTAGACAGGAAGACAGGTAGACAGGTAGACAGGGAGACAGGTAGACAGGGAGACAGGTAGACCGGTAGACCGGTAGCCAGGTAGACAGGTTGATAAGTAGACAGGTAGACGGGTAAACCGGTAGCCAGGTATACAGGTAGACAGGGAGACAGGTTGACAGGGAGACAGGTAGACAGGTAGACAGGTCGACAACTCTTCGTAAACGACCGTTAACGACGACCCAACGCTGACGATCGTTAACGAGCTTTAAAGTGAGAAAATATATTTTTTGTTTGGAAAATTCAAGGTCATAAAATATTCAGTTTATTTGTCTCGTGAAAAAAACCATTTAAGACAACATTCATAACCTTATCTTCCAGAAAAAAAAACGTTAAATTGATTGTCTTAAAACTACAGATTCATTCGCGAAATTTTTTTTCAAAAACGATCATTTTACAAAAAAGATAGTTTTTAAAAAACAATTGCTTTAAAAACGCTAGTTTTTCGCTGAAAAACACATAGTTATACTACCGTCTAACACACATAGTTATACTACCGTCTACCACACATAATTATACTACCGTCTACCACACATAGTTATACTACCGTCTACCACACATAGTTACACTACCATCTACCACATATAGTTATACTACCGTCTACCACAATAGTTATACTACCGTCTACCACACATAGTTATACTAACGTCTACCACACATAGTTATACTACCGTCTACCACACATAGTTATACTAACGTCTACCACACATAGTTATACTACCGTCTACCACACATAATTATACTACCGTCTACCACACATAGTTATACTGCCGTCTACCACATATAGTTATATACTACTGTCTACCACACATAGTTATACTACCGTCTACCACACATAGTTACACTACCATCTACCACACATAGTTATACTAACGTCTGCCACACATAGTTATACTACCGCCTACCACACATAGTTATACTACTGTCTACCACACATAATTATACTACCGTCTACCACACATAATTAGACTACCGTCTACCACACATAGTTATACTGCCGTCTACCACACATAGTTATACTAACGTCTACCACACATAGTTATACTACCGTCTACCATACATAGTTATACTGCCGTCTACCACACATAGTTATACTACCGTCTACCACATATAGTTATACTACCGTCTACCACACATAGTTATACTACCGTCTACCACACATTATAGTTATACTACCATCTACCACACATAGTTATACTACCGTCTACCACACATAATTATTCTACCGTCTACCACACATAGTTATATTATCGTCTACCACACATAGTTATATACTACCGTCTACCACACATAGTTATACTACCGTCTAACACACATAGTTATAATACCTTCTACCACAGATAGTTATACTACCGTCTACCACACATATTTATACTACCGTCTAACACACATAGTTATACTACCGTCTACCACACATAGTTATACTGCCGTCTACCACACATAGTTATACTATCGTCTAACACACATAATTATACTACCGTCTACCACACATAGTTATACTACCGTCTACCACACATAGTTATACTATCGTCTACCACACATAGTTATATACTACCGTCTACCACACATAGTTATACTACCGTCTAACACACATAGTTATAATACCTTCTACCACAGATAGTTATACTACCGTCTACCACACATAGTCATACTACCGTCTAACACGCATAGTTATACTACCGTCTACCACATATAGTTATACTACCGTCTACCACACATAGTTATACTATCGTCTAACACACATAGTTATAATACCGTCTACCACACATAGTTATACTACCGTCTAACACACATAGTTATACTACCGTCTACCACACATAGTTATACTACCGTCTACCACACATAGTTATAATACCGTCTACCACACATAGTTATACTACCGTCTACCACACATAGTTATACTACCGTCTAACACACATAGTTATAATACCGTCTACCACAGATAGTTATACTACCGTCAAACACACATACAAACTAAAGAATTGGCTTAGATTGGAAGTGCTTTTAATCTTTTAATACAAACTTTAACATTAGATAAAAGATAAATAATTACTTTTAAATCGGCTCTTCACTTTCATGTTTCGTGGGAAAATCTATATTTATTTATATTATACTATTAAAGGTAACCAAGGAACCAAGGAACAATATACAGGAACCCCCAACTCAGATAGACGCATTTTATGTACTGTACACTGTGGGAGGAATGTAAACAAACCCAGTGCCCCCCCCCCAGAAGTTGAAGGGAAAGGACTAAAGCTCTGATGTGATATTACAGTCCAACAAAAATAAGTTAATATATCAAGTTAAAGCGAATACTTATGATTTTTGGCTTTCTGGTCAATTTGGAAAATAAATTTTTATTCCACCCCTTTTGGGCCCTTTTTCTCAAAAATGATGCGTTGCCCCTGAATTCTTTGTTTTGATCTCTTCCCACTGCAGTACACAGATTTGACGCACAAGATATGGCGGTTCCTGCTGATTTCTTGCTCGGAACTAGTTTTATCAAAACGATAATAAAGATTGGAAATAAAGGTGGGAACTGTTGTTGGAATTGGCCGGGCTTGTTTACCATAAACCAGTTCCTCAGCAGTTCTAATACGAAATAATTACACAAACCCTTCTCCCCTTACCTTCAGTATACAAACCTTGACTAAATTTATTAGAATTTGTACAAAATGTGCGTAAGGTTATAAAAACTGTGTGATATCTACAGAAATTAAAATTTTGCCTTTTTTAGCCCTGATCCAGGACTGGATAGAAACTGCCTTTTATCAGACTCAATAGCTGAAGAAAATTCGATACAGGTTAACTTAGGTTTTACTTTTAAAAATTTGTTAAAGGGACTGTAAGCGTAAGTTTAATTGACCCTCCAGGGAAAAATAACAATGCCAGATCTACAGCGGTACCCTTGAAACCTTAATCTGATCAAAATTGAGGAAGATAACGTTGTTTTTCTGACTTGAAAGTTTTGATTTTTGTGAATTTCTTCAAAAATTTCTTACAAGCAAGAAATGTGCAGGTTACTGTTGCAGAGAAACCACAAATAAAGATAAACAGTTTAAATTAACAAAAACATGCATGCATATATATTTAATTCATATATAATCAGACCAAGCATTTAATGGAGCCGTTGTAAATCAATGGGAGGCCGAATTTCAAGAATTTGAGCCGCGGCTTAACTTTTAGCCGCGGCTCAAATATGGTTAGTTCCACTTAAAATTGTATTCAATTTTCAAGATTTAAGCCGGCGCTCAATTAAACCGGTTTTTGGGGGATTTGAGAAATTCATTAAATTCGGACTCGGGCATCAGCATGGAGGGTCGCATGAAAATACGCTTATATTGCCTGTCTCTCGTTCTTTTAAAAATCTAAATAATTTTGAAAATGTTTCACACATAAATAAGTTTTCAAAAAAAACCGAGAGGGTAAAAAGTGACTTGCGGAAAAACTGTTATCAGTTTATTTAGAATAAAAGTAAATCGATTCTGCAGTATTTATAATTTGAAATGTTTAGGACTGCAGTCCAGGAGTATTTATAATCTGAAATATTTAGGATCCGTCCCTGGAGTATTTATAATTTGAAATATTTAGGACCGGTCCTGGAGTATTTATAATTTGAAATATTTAGGACCGGTCCTGGAGTATTTTTAATTTGAAAGTTTGTGATTCTTTTGGCAAGGAACAGGTAAAGGACTGATAATGTATAATGTAATAATGTACACAATTTTATTGTATTTTGTGATTCAAATGTACGATTTTTTCACAAAAATTAAATGTTCATTGTGCATTACATGCCAGATCTGGCCGATTGGGCATTTGTGCACCTGACCCAGAGATGAGAGAGTTACAGAGATCGATTGAAACCTATGCTATGCGATATTTTCTACAGCATGTTTTATTGTGTACAAGTACTGTACACGACCAATCAGCAAACATCTGTATTCAGGGATATTTAAGGATCATTTGGATTCGACACGCAAAATCTTCAAAAATAGACTGAATTCATAAATGTTATATTTCATGTTTAAAATTGGAGTATTTCTTTAAAAGTTGTAAAACTTAACCTCTAAATGGGTATTATATTCAACAAGTGGCCGTAAGATGGCACTCTAAAAACCTATCGTAAAAACGTATCATGTCGTGCTGGGTCAACTTAGGCCTACGTAGCCCACCCTGTGAAAGGAGATAAGCAGCCTGTGTAGTCTGTGACCTGACCCAGACACAAAAATGGCGTATTGTGACAATAAAATAAAATAACACTCCGCTCTTGAGGGCCGGGATCACGGTTTTCGGGTCGGTAATGTTGGTCAAAAGATGATTAAATAATAATAAAAAATGGTTTATTTATCATACAAAAATCTAAAAGATAACCTGGTGTATCAAATGACTAAGGTTTCAGTGAGAATCATTGTTGTAACTTGTAAATTCTGGTTTGACGACTGAATACTAATTTTATCACAAAAAAAAACACAAGATTGATTAGTGAGAAACACTTTATCCCAATTAAGTTTATGTTTCTTAAATCAAAAATGCATAGTTCCGAAATTGCTTAAAGAATAAAAACGAGACAATTCCTTTTTTACTAACTCTTCTAAAGAGTGCCCCCCCCCCCCTCCATTAGAAGGAGTCACTCTTCTAAAGAGTGAAATTACAAATTTTATTTTGATATTTTAATACAAAAGACATCGTATACAGATTTCATTTACAACCTAAAGCACATGATCATCATGTTGTTTTTAAAAAGTACATCCGAATTTACAAGCATTTATCGGTTGAAAGTGTAAAAACAAATGTAATTATATACAATTATCTAACAAAGTGATGAATGTTATGGAACGAATATGTAAACAAAACTTAGTGTAAGTGGTCGCTTCAAAAACCTTGAATTTCACCTCCATTTCCTGTTTATTCAGTACGAGCTGTCTATTTGTAAAGAGTGTCCTACGAAACATGAAAGTAGCAAGACGACCTGAAGGTCGTCCTTTATCTTTGAAATAGATTGCGGCATTTATTTGTAATACAACTTAAAAGCGTTAATCACCATGGTATAATCCTAGTACTGACATTTCTAAAATGTGGTCTGTCATTTTTGTGCTTTAGATATATCCGACAGTTCAGATGTCGCAGTTATGATTTAATAAATGAAATTCTGAACGAATTTCTTCTTATCTCCGGTAATATTGACAAGACCAAAACGCGAACCACATTTTGGAAATCCCAAGACTTGGAGAATTTTGAAATTATTGTTTCATGGATGATACATGTAAAAGTAGGTTCCTTAAATAATTTCAAATATTAAAGATGACCTTAAAGTCGTCTTCCTACTGTACACTTGCGTGGGACACCCTGTATGTTGATTAGATATGAAAACATAAAAAAACTAACTTACCCCCCCCCCCTCGTCAACTATACTTTGAGCAATAAAAACATCAACAGAAAAAAAACAAGTGTTGACCCTTTTGGAAAATATGCACGTAACGTAAGAAATATAACTAAGCCCAGATCCTTGTGAGATGCCCAAGCTTGGATTGGAATCATACATTACGTTTAGCGAGCAAATTCAGCGAGCATAATTTCATCAATCCTGAAAAAATGAAAAATCAATACAAATTACTAATACCCAATATTTAGATTTCAGATGTGGAGTGTTTTAAGATGTTTGCGAAGCGTGCAAGGTAAATTTTAAGTTTTAAGCAGTGCTTAGGATCCATTTCCTTTAGATGCAGATCCACATCCGGATCCGGATTCAGGTCATGAATATTTCTTTAAGATTTGCTCAAAAGAAGAATTTAAAATTATTTTCTCAATGAACCACTCAGAAGTAAGGACATTTTACTACTCTTTCTTTTTCAGCAGTTCAGATTTTGAGTTTGAGAATAAAAATATTTTTTACAGTTTTTGGTTGATATTTTGTCCCTTGGATCCGGATATTGATCCAGGAAGCCAATATGTTATGAATCCAACGGATCAGGATCCGGATCCTGAGCACTGGTTTTAAGATTACATATACATATTAAAATCATCCATCTTAAACATAAATTATCAAAAATTGAAAATTGGAAAAATGTTTAAAACTTAAGCAGGGTGTCGAATTTCTATTTGCTAATCATGGTTTAGGACTCCGATTATTATTATTAAATAATTTGGCAAGAAACAAGTTAACAGCTGCAGAGTCGTGAATATTAGGAAACAGATAGTTTATATTCCGTACAGTCGTCTTTGAAGTCTCATCCTTTGTGGGTAACCCTGTATAGAAAAACAGAAATTCATGTGAAAATTAAGAATTTAATATATATTATATATAAATAATCAGGAATGTGCACAACAAAACGTCAAGATTGTTTACTAAAGGAATAAAGGCAAAAAACGAAAATTTTCCAAACCCTATATCTTCGCAACCTAATGGCGTGAACTTTTGATATTTCAAACATAGACTATTTAATATAACATAATTTTCAATTTGAAATATCTGAGGTCTACGACATTGGGTTGCACAGATTAGGAATTCGAAAATCAGAGTTTGTTGCAAAGACTCAATTCTTTTATACTCTTTTTCCGAGCCATGTTTTCTCTCTTTAGGCTGATTATATAATTTGCTTATATTTAAGGTTAGCAGACTCTGTAATCCATAAATCATTAAGAACCTTTTCATTAGATGAATGCAAATTCAGGTTTTAAATATTATTATCATTACGATTATGCTTGTTGTTATTACTATTATTATTCTTATTATTATTATTAGTAGTAGTATTATTTAAATACTTGTTAAAGAAAATAAATGTAATTTTTTTGCAAATTATCATTATTATTTATTTGATTAATGTTATTATAATTATTGATATTATTATCATTTACTATATTAATGTTGTTAAAATTATTGATAATATTATTATTTTTAATGTTATTATATCATCTATTGTTATTATTGTTATCATTCATATCTTTATCATTTTCATTAAAAAGTTGTAAAGAAAATTTTTTTTAAAAAGATTATCATTTTCATTCAAAAGTTTTAAAGCAAAAAATTTCAAAAAAAAAGATTGTTTTTATCAATAAGGTAAAAAAGTTGTCTGTTTAGATGCCGGGATGATTATCATTGTACAGTTTTCTTCTTCACTCTTAGTTCAGAAATAAATTGTCATATTTCTGAAGCACCCAACATTGACCAGTACATAGAGAGGTAACATATACATCGAGCAGTACATAGAGAGGTAACATATACATAGAACAGTACATAGAGAGTTAACATATACATAGGAGAGGTAACATATACATAGAGCAGTACATAGAGAGGTAACATATACATAGAACAGTACATAGAGAGTTAACATATACATAGGAGAGGTAACATATACACAGAGCAGTACATAGGGAGGTAACATATACATAGAGCAATACAAAGAGAGGTAATATATACAAAGAGCAGTACATAGAGAGGTAATATACAAAGAGCAATACATAGAGAGGTAGCATATACATAGAGCAGTACATAGAGAGGTAGCATATACATAGAGTAGTACATGAGAGGTAGAATATACATAGAGCAGTACATAGAGAGGTAGCATATACATAGAGTAGTATATAGAGAAGTAGAATATACATAGAGCAGTATGTCTTTAAGTCAGTTAGAAACAAAAGTTTTTGCTTGTCATCTGTAAAAAATATTCTTCCTATTATAAATATTAAACTAACCATTAACAACTCTTTATTTCGATCATATTGAATATAGAATTTCAGCCTGGGGAAGAAACAAATGTTCGGAAAGAAAAAAATTCATATTTTACAGAAACGCACAATAAAATTAATTGATAACTCAAAAGCAATGTCTCATAGTGAATCTCTTTTTCTTAAGTATAAGATTCTAAAGGTTAATGATCTTGTCGACTTTTACCAAGCTATATTTATGTATAGATATACAAATAAACTACTTCGATCCTTCCTCTTTTGAAAACATTTTTAAAAAGCTTGGAAACTTTGAAAGATCTCTTAACTATCAACTTGACATTCTCAAAATGAGCTTATTACAGTATTTACCATCAAGCTCTCTTCTTAAGATGTGGAATAACCTGCCTCTTGACTTAAAAAGAAGCAACTCTCTAAGTATATTTAAAAATAGACTAATAAACTCTCTTTTTGAAAATTACATTACAATGTGTTATAAACCGAATTGTTATTCATGTAAAACTAATTAATTATGTTTTTATATGTTTTGATGTTTGTCTTGCACATGTCAGAAAATTATTTTAAAATCTAGTTATTCTAACAAATGTATAAACTATTGCAGCATAAGATAAAATCGCACCCTGATCTCTAATAGTTCATCTTAAATCTATTTAATGGAAATATTTTGTTATCATTATTAAAATTAGGTGGAAAAAATAAACAAAACATCCAAGAGCTATTTTCCACCTAATTGCTTTATACTTGTACTGTTAATATAATTATCAATTTGTAATTGAAAAATCGTTCTGTATACCAATACATGCATTTTAGCACTAAACTTTATCTATCTATCTAGAGAGGTAATAGAGCAGTACATAGAGAGGTAATAAGTACATAGAGAAGTACATAAAAAGGTAATTTATACATAGATCAGTACATAGAGTGGTAATATACATATTGAGCTNAGGTCAAAAACTTTTTTGCCACCCACCGTGTTACACGAATTGGGCTGAGTGTATCGGAAACCGGGTTACACGAATTGGACTGAGTGTATCGGAAACCGGGTTACACGAATTGCGCTGAGTGACTTTGGCAAATATCAAATTTTTTGCAAGAAAAACAATGTTCATGGTTAGTCTCGTATCATCTTTTTTTAATGGTTAAGGAATTGAGTCTTTGTAACAAACTCTGTTTTTCTTATCCCTGTATCTTCTCACGCTAGTGCTGAAGACCTCCGATAATTCAAACTATGGATCATGTTAGATTAAATAATCTAAGTTTGGAATATCAAAGGTGTAAACCAACCGGTTGCTGAGAATAGGGATTAGAAAATATGAGTTTTTGGCAAAACTCAGTTCCTTTACACAAATGTATATACCGCAAAAAAAAAAACCCACCTGATGGTAGTTTTGTTAAACGATACTCTTTTAAAATTCCGAAGAAGAAAATACTGTTGCCCTTACCTGGAATTATTCCTGTATTTGTTAAATGTACAGTGAAACCAATAAAACTGTAGAATAGGATGACAACTTTTATCTGATCAATATTCGGTGTTGCTATAAAGCAAATAGTTAAACATCAGCCGTCTTCCTATTCCACAGTTTTTGAGTCTATACTACTGTACAATGTACAGTACATTGTGCATTTATTTATTTAGAGTCTACGACCGACTGGACAGTCTCTGGTTCCCCATGTGCTACTGGAAGTTGCAGGTACAGACATACCCATTGACACAGCCATTGACACAGTCACTAACACAACCATTGACACAGTCACTAACACAGTCACTAAAACAGACACTAAAACAACCATTGACTCATCTATTAACACAGTCATAAACACACTAACATACCCATTGACACAGCAATTGACACAGCCATTACACAACCATTAATACAGACATTTACACAGCTATTAACACATCCAAGACACATCCATTAACACAGCCATTGACACAGCCATTGACAGAGTCATTGACAGAGCCATTGACACAGCCATTGACAAAACCATTTACACAGCCATTGACACAGCCATTGACACAGCCATTGGCACAGCCATTGACACAGCCATTAATACAAACAATTACACAGCCATTAACACATCAATGACACGTCCATTAACACAGCCATTGACTCAGCCATTGGCACAGCCTTGACAAAGCCATTGAAACAGCCATTGACGCAACCATTGACACAACCATTGACACAGTCATTGAAACAGTCATTGATACAGTCATTGACACATCCATTAACACAAACACGAATACAGATATAAACACAGATAAAAACACAGAGACAAAAACAGACAAAAAACAGATACAACCACAGATACAAGCACAGACACGAACACAGATACAAACACAGATACAAAGAAAGGTACAAACATAGAAAAACACAGACAATAACACAGATACAAAGACAGGTACAAAGACAAATACAAATACAGATGCAAAAACAGACACAAACACAGACACAATCACAGATAAAAGCACAGACATGAACCCAGATGTAGGATTCCATGGTATTATGTAATGAATGTATAATGTCTTGGATAAACCCGGATGTAGGATACTGGTATTATGTAATGAATGGATGTAGGGTACCTGTATTTTGTAATGAATGTATTGTCTAGAATGAACCCGGATGTAGGATACTGGTATTGTGTAATGAATGTATTGTCTAGAATGAACCCGGATGTAGGATACTGGTATTGTGTAATGAATGTATTGTCTAGAATGAATCCGGATGTAGGATACTGGTATTATGTCATGAATGTATTGTCTAGAATGAATCTGGATTTAGGATACTGGTATTATGTAATGAATGTATCGTCTAGAATGAACCCAGATGTAGGATACTGGTATTATGTAGTGAATGTATTGTCTAGAATGAACCCGGATGTAGGATACTGGTATTATGTAATGAATGTATTGTCTAGAATGAACCCGGATGTAGGATACTGGTATTATGTAATGAATGGATGTAGGGTACCTGTATTTTGTAATGAATGTATTGTCTAGAATGAACCCGGATGTAGGATACTGGTATTATGTAATGAATGTATTGTCTAGAATGAACCCGGATGTAGGATACTGGTATTGTGAAGTAATGAATGATGTGGGCTGGGATTATTGCTGTAGACCAGGAGAAAGGTAAATATTAAACCAATCGATCGATATTTGAAAATACATTTATAGAACCAGCTGAAGAGCACAACGTTGCCTGTGGAATTTTTAAAAAATCGAATTTTTAAAGAAAAAAATTTGAATTTTGAAGAACTTTTTTTTGGAAATTTGAAGAAGAAAACAATTCGAATTTTATTTAGCCTTTGTTACCCCCAGGGTACCCATGAAAGTCCCTTACCGGAATTTCATTCAAATTAGTTCAGCCGTTCGGCCAGCTCTAGCTTAGTTTTTATATTATAGATAACATATTCAATTATCTATATAGAAAAGCTCTTCGCTCATAAATATTTTATATATTTTATATATATATATATATTCTTTATAGCTGACTAAACGGTTGGACCAAAGGAGTTGAGTTTTTGCCACAAACTCTGATTTTATAATCTCTATATCTTTGTAACCCAATGTCGTAGACCTTAGATATTTCAAACTATTGATACTTATAGATAAAATAATCTAAGTTTGAAATATCAAAGGTTTGCACCATCAGGTTGCAAAAATATTGGGATCAGAAGATTTGAGTTTGTGGCAAAAACTCAATTCCTTTGCAATACTTTTATGGGTACCCCGGAGCTGACATTGGCAAATTTTTAGAATTTTTTAAAATCCTACGGCAATCATGGTTTAATACTAAGCACGGGTAAATGTGCAGAAGTAACAGAATTTTATTTGGACCAAAAGCCTGGAAATTAAACCTTCAAATTGTCAAATTAAAGAGTTTAAAGGTCGTCTTTCAAGTCTAATATGTCCTGGGTAACCCTGTCCATATATTATAATTCATAAATTCTTTTGTTTTACATTTAACGATGAACCTGGGTGAACTACCCTCATCAACATTTCAGTGTTGGTTCACTGAGTACATTACAATATATGTAACCTGGATATGGAATTATTATAATATATATATATATATATATATATATTTTTAATTGTAGATGCGGATATGGAAATAATGAAAGATACCCATGGTGCTATGTTGGAGATACCGGAAGTGATCAATGGAGACCTTGTAAGCTGTAAACACATTAGTTAATGTTCAAACCATGTTCTCATCAAGTTGAACTAGTTCTAAATAGTTCAACTATATTCTAAATATTTCAACTAGTTCTAACTAGTTAAACTCGTTCTTGCTAGTTCAACTAGTTCTAACTAGTTCACTACTTCTTTATACCGCCGAAAAAAAAACTTCCAAAAAAGAATAAGTTGAACTAGCTCTACAATTGTCTTCATTAATTCCAACCTTTGTAAATACATTGTTTCACGTTTAAAACGTGTTTGTCCAAAACGCAGCGTTTAACGTTGTAAATGTATGATTCTAAAACACAGTATTAAACGTTAAAATTGGCCGGGTTTGAGGATTAACGTGTTTACCTCTTTTTCCAATAAACATATTGTTTAACGGTAAAAAATATATCTAAATTAGTTAGACTTTTATATGTAGTTTTTCTATTATCAAAACCTATTTAAAAAGTATTAAACATACGTGTTTAAATGAACACAAGATTTTACACATATTTTAGAAATAGTTGTTCTTTAATATTTTTTTCTTAGTTAATTTTTTATCGTAATATCTTTAAAGTTTCAAGTCGTCTTTACCGTCTCATAATTTGTGGGTAACCCTGGTTAAACTTGTAAAATCCAAAGATATGTTTCCCATAAATTATAGACGCCTTATAGTTACTAAAGCCGACAACCTGACTTTATGCTAAAAAAGAATTACAAAAGATGCTTATTATCATGTGAATGTCATATTAATAAACATTTGTAGATCTTAATTCAATGTTTTGATATCTTAATTATTTTTAAACAAGGAGCTAAAGAAAAATCAATAAATAAGTTGTGCTTTGAACTAATCTGTAATCTGCATTAAGGAACACATTTCTTGAACGAAATTATCGATGCATGCCCTAAACTCTGCTTTTCTATATGCCTAAATCATTTATATTTTAAACTATAAATTATGTAATAAAAAGTAACAAGTTTGAAATATGAAAGGGTCACACCATTCGACTGCAAAGATATAGGGATTACAAAATCAGAGACAAAGACTAACTATTTAAGTCAACTTACTCAACTTAGAATCTTATAACCAAGAACATTTCCGAATGACATATCTGAGATACAAGCAAACAAACGATCAAACAAAAACAGACAGACAAACTGAAAATACTACTTAATATATCTATGAATATAATTTGCTTGTCTGTCGTTTTTTTGTTTGTTTGTCTGTCTGTATCCAATAAACATCAAAACAGCTGAACCGATCGGGCCCAAATATTGTGGGGACGGTCGGTACATGATCCCAGGGAACATTTATGATCAAAATTTAAAAAAATAGTCATTAAATTTTGAAAATCCATAAAATTTTTTTTACAAAACAGCGAGCTTTTTTTGCTACTGTTTTGCAATGTATACAAAGATAAATTGTTTTATTTATCTAGAAGATAGGCTCGAAGCGCCCTGAACAAGGGCATATACAGAAATAAATCTATGGGAGGGGGGGGGGGCAAAAATGCGCGAAGGTCAAAAACTTTTTTGCCACCCCCCTAGGAGTTTTGCCTTTCCGTAGGAGCTCCTAGGGGGCGAGCTTGGGGGGGGGGGCAAAATTTGAACTTTATATTCAAAACATTTGGCTTCTACTTTATCAGGCATAATTTTTTTACGGTTTAGTATACATTTTCCGAAATTGTCTGTTTTTGAAAATTTGTATCCATTCTTTTATATTGTAATTTTTCTTTCTGTAATTCTTTAGATCCCCCCCCCATAGGAGTTCCTGGGGGAGGGAGGGGCAATTTTGGACTGTAAATTCAGAACATTTGGCTTCTTTGATATCAGACACAAGTATAAGATACTATAAAGGGAGTGACCGGCAATGTATGGAAGGTAGACTGAGAATGTAGTTTTGTTGAAAATTTTTTTTGATTCATTTAAAACATATAATGACGTAGAATTACTGAGTTTGGGCGCAAGGTCGACTTTTAAAATCATCCATTTGGGTGGTTACGTTTTGAGAATCGTTTTTTTTTAAAATTATTAAATATAACGACGACAAAAAATGTTACAACAATTCTTCAAGTTTAGGAACAGGTTGAGAAATTAAAAATTAAATCTTCTCATCGAACATAAGTAATCTTATTTAGTTATTAGTTTCTGTAATCTCTCAAACTTCACAAACATTTTCTGCAGATTTTTGGAATTCTAAATAGAAAGACGACATTTGAAGAACTTGTAGAAATCTGCGAACAAATTCGTAAAGAATAAGAAACTAAATATAACGATGAAAAAGAAATAATTTTTTCTAACATTGATTTATTGACAAATTTCTACAGAGCAATATGTTGCTAAATATATAATTAGTTTATTGTAGAATTTTTGATACATTTTTCGTCGTTGTTATTTACTAATTAAAAATAAATCGATTCTTAAAACGTAACCATTTAAACCGATGAGTTTGAACGTCGGCTTTGCGCTCAAACTCAGTAATTATACATCATTAAAACGTTTCATATGTCTCAAATTAATCCCTAAAAAATACTCCACTACACTACATTCTCAGTTCAACTACGTGACATGGTCTGTCACTCCCTTTAAATGCACACAAACATTCCAATCACCTTGCAAGTACTACTTTATCTCTACATAAAACAAAATTCTGTGAACTTGAAAGGGAAAATTAGGTTACAGCCTTGCAATAATATATATTTTTTGTGGGGGGTGGGGGGACTCCCATTAAACTTCTGAACTGCAAACTATTTTTGTAATTCTTCTGCACTCTTAAGTTTAAGATTTGAAAAGTGCGAGTTCTAGGAGGGGGCTACGCCCCCCATTAAAAGTTCTGGGGGGGGGGGCGTTCTTGGCCCCTGAAAGCCTAGTATGATATATATATATATATTTCTTTATCTGTTTATTATGTTTTTGTTTGATATCCAATCAATCAAAAGAATCATTGACCCTTCTCTCTGATTCCTTTATATGTCCATGCTGGTCCCCTATTTCCGTTTTTAGTTGAAGGGAGACTTAAAATGGTCACAATAACAAATGTTGTAAATAAAGAGAAATTACTCAAAAATATTTTGCAAAATCTAATTTTTAAAATCTAGATGGGTTTCTGATTCTTTTTGACCATTTTTTTCGAACCTCCTTGAATTGCCGGTATTTTCTATAAAACATTCAACATTTTGATTCAAGTAATCAGTTCTTCCATACTTTTTAAACGTTATTTATTGGAGCACGTAGAGCTCATCTATTGCCACCCACAGAAATATTGTAGACGGCATTTATTTTATTAAATTATCAATTTTCATGGTTTTTTAATTTTCATAGTTTATTGATTTTTTTATGGTTTATCAGTTTTCTTGGTTTACCAGTTTTAATGACTCGTCAGTTTTCTTGGTTATTAGTTTTCTTGGATTATCAGTTTTCTTGGTTTAACAGTTTTCTTGGTTTAACAGTTTTCTTGGTTTATCCGCTTTTATGGTTTATCAGTTTTCTTGGATAATCAGTTTTCATGGATTATCAGTTTTCATGGCTTATAAGTTTTCATGGTATGTTTTTTTTTCATGGTTTATCAGTTTTCTTGGTTTACTAGTTTTCTTGTTTTATAAGTTTTCTTGGATTCTCAGTTTTCATGGTATGTTACTTTTTTCATGGTTTATCAGTTTTCTTGGATTATCAGTTTTCATGGTTTATCAGTTTTCTTGGTTTATCAGTTTTCTTGGTTTAACTGTTTTCTTGGTTTATCAGTTTTTATGGTTTACAAGTTTTCATGGTATGTAACTTTTTTTCATGGTTTATCAGTTTTCATGGTTTATCAGTTTTCATGGTTTATCAGTTTTCATGATATATCATTTTTCTTGGATTATCAGTTTTCATGGTTTATCAGTTTTCATGATTTATCAGTTTGAAAAATCAGACTGAAAACGTACTATAATTTTATTCCTTAACGTACTGTAGAAACTTTAAAAATCAGACTTGGCGTGCTAGATTTTTTAATTTCCGAAAGACTGAACTCATTGGACTTGAGAAAAAATGTTGGTTTAAACCACAAGAATTGTAATATTAATTGTGTCAACCTAGTATCGCTACCATTATGATATAGAATCTTGTTTTTCTTATTGTTGACAAAATTTAATTATTTACAAGGGTGTAGGTGCCCGCATATGCAAACAATTGTTAATATTTGCGAATCTCCAGATCATCATCCTAGATCTGTCAAACCAAACACAGGGGGAACCAAAATATCAAAATATGTTTAACCCCTTTAAAAACATTTTCCAAAATGCACACTTCCTAAACATCCATTTTAATTTTTTAGAAAAAAATTCTTGGATTCGTTTGATTTTTATATCTCCCTGGCTGTGGAAAGGGTTTGCTTAAATACAGAGGATGTATTATACCTTAATCAGTAGAACAATAAGAGTACTGTTCAAAGCTTCTAATTAGTATATCATTATTATCAACACATCTTATTTTCAGAAAATGAAATTTACATTATTTTTCGTCTGTCTTATACCGTCAATATTTTCCAAACCTACCCATTTAGAAGGTAATTTCTCAGACTCTTTAAACAACTTTTTTTCAAAAATTCCCTGAAATTTTACATTTTTCTCATTATAGAATCTGGAGTTCCTGAAGCACAGCTTTTAGGTAAAATATTTTAATTTATCAAATAAAATTTAGCGAAGATTTTTAATTTAAAGGGACTGTCAACGTATTTTCTCGTGAGCTCCCATTTCAAAGTGCACTTAATTTAAAGTGTTGTCATACTTTCCATAGAAAATTGCTGAATTCTGACTTTCACCTTCTTGGCTAAGCTTCATTGTATCCGCAAGTCTCTAATGTAAAATAGAAATTTTCGGATAAAAAAACAAGATCTTCTTCTTTCATTTTTTAAATGGGTGGTCATTTTAAATTGCATCGAACGTTCCTTAAAACATGAATGCCATTTTTAAAAACACATTTTCTTTCATACAGGCGTCGTCGTATATATCAATGAAGATGACTTATTATTTTAATTTTTCATTTTTACCGATTTTTCAAACAGCACATAAACATGGTAACAAAAAGAAGCTGTCAGTTTTCCTTGTTTACTTGTAAACCTGTAAATTTTAAAACGGTTGAAGGTGTTAAGAGCATTAATAATAAAAAGTCGTCTTCATTGTAGAATACAGAATATTAGAGTTTAGGAATTCGGATTAGCTTGTATTTTTGTTTTAAACCTCGCTCTTTCTTTTCATAAATTTACCGAGAAAAAAAGAAAAAAGTGAACAAAATATAAAAACTAATTACTTAAAAATAAGAAAAATGTACACTAAGAATTATGCAAAAATGTAAATCTGCTAGACACAGATTCTTTCTTTCTGATTATTACACTACATATAAAAACATGTACGTTTAAAAAAATTCAATACTTTTAATTTCATTTTAAAGGGTCTACTAATCCAGAAAGCTTGGAGCAAATACCTCTGGATAAACGGGGAATAGTTAGGAAAAATATTAAACACAAAATAAACGAAAAAGTATCGATAAAACCATCCAAAAAATAAAGTTAAAGGAAAAAACGATGAAAATTTTACGTTTGATTATTCACAATGGTGCCATTTCAAACTTTATTTAAGCGAACTTTAATTTAATATTCGGTGATGGTGATGGACCAAACCTTTGTAGAGTAAAAAAAGTTTATGTTAGTTCCACATTTATTGAAAATATATTTCGGTCTGGGTTGACCCTCGTCAGTTCTACTTCTAGCGATATAATAACCATCAAAATCGATAAAAAAAAAAAAAAATTTTAAAATTGTAAAAAATCACAAGAAGATAAACAAACAAAATGATTATTCAAAATACAAATTTGGGCTCTAAAATGGACATAAGGGAAACGAACTCAGATTATGAGATGGAAAAAAGATGATTTGCTAATATTCACTTGAAGAAAAATGATTTATCCATCTTTATAATCTAATAATTGATTATTTATAATTGCAGTTCTCAAAGAAAAGTACTTTATACGGGTATAGTGCAGAGACAAGGATGGAAACTAACAGAATATTAACATCTTTGAAATTGACAAAATCTTTTTATTATTACAAGGTTGAAAGTGCGAAGAGTACCATTGTGAATCGTGAAACGTTTTAAAATTAAGATTCACTTGAAATTACGTCTACAGTCTCTTTAAAATTAAAAATAATTTCTAAAATAAATTGTTTAATGTTTTCCCAGAGATTCTCCAAGTTTGACGAGTAGTTTAAAGTCCAAGCTTGCCAAATATATCTCTCAACGTGAACGAAGAAGCCAATCAATGGCTTTAGGTGGATTTAAACAAATATTTTAATATCTACAGTTTAACCCAGAACTACGGAGACATCCACAGAATTTATAAAATATCGTCTTGACAATTGTCCAATGGGTTCAGAGTTACCCACAAAGGATGAGACTTCAGAGACGACTGTACATAATTTACATTGTCCATTTCCTTATATTTCGGATTCTTTTAAACTTTAGACTGGGTTCTTTCGTTGCCATGTCAATAAATCGTCAATTAAAAGACAATATTCAAGGCAAAAAAACTTAATTTAACCTTAATCGTCATATTTTATGAGTTTCATGTAATATCTTTACATTAACCCTGTATTCGACATAAATCTCAGAAATAGTAAAAAAATAGCCTTGAAACAGTTTAAAGATTTCAATGTAATTATTAAATTTAAAAAAAATTCTGCAGCATTTCACTATCAATAGGTTTAAAAAACGACATTTTAAAACTTCGTTTGATGACTCCAAAGTTTGGGTTAAATTGTATTATTTTGTTTTGATCTATGGAGTTTCAAATTAAATAATAATTAACAATTGTGTTTAGACTATAAACTGCCAACTCGAGAAGTACAATCTTAAAAATACAGAATTTTTTTTTCTCAAATAAATTATTAACAATTGTAAAGACAATTTTATATTTTAGCTTTAAACAATGTCATTATTTCACAAATCTTGATTTTATTTAACATCCCTAAATTCCAACTCACAATAAACCTTGAACCATGTGAAGTGAAGTCTCGCTTACCATTCGTGCTATTTGATGTTTATTGGATGCTTGAAAACAAACAACTAGAATTAGAACCAGCAAACTGTGGAATAGATATTAATGAAGACTTTATAGCAATACTTCTCTGTATTTGATATTGTTACAAAGTAAATGGTTTTACTATAAACTCACTAAATAAATCATGTATTAAGTTCCATGGGTCTGTTTACACTGCACAATTGTTTCTCATATTCATTGGAAAATTAAAAGTGATAACTTGGGTCTTAAAATCATCCTCCTTATCCAGAGTTTTCTGGTTCTCACTGTACATTCTACATCTTGTTATTTAATCACTATAAAAACATCCTCCTATTCTAGAGTTTTCTGGTTCTCACTGTATACTCTACATCTTGTTATTTAATTAACTGTTAAGATAAAAGAGATCCCTGGACCTCTGCTTGGGCCAATATTCTTTATAAACCAAAAAGCTTGACGTAAGTAGACAAATATATATTTTTTTACTCTATACTCAAAGAGAATAGAATATATGTTAGAGGGGGACACACTTTAAACTCATATTATCTCTGACCATAGAGAATAGAAAATATATTAGAGGGGAATTTAGTAGAAAAAAGTGTTAAAACGGCCTGTTTGTTGTACTGTTTCCATACTGCAGTTGTACTTCACATATTTGCGCTATATAACCTTTTGGGCCCTGGAACATCATTTTATAGAAAATTAATATTAAAAGAAAACCAAATTATGAAATAGGCTGGTTTCATAATTGACCAATGATCATTTCACATAGACTCTATGCCTTTCATTTTACAAACGATGATTTTCCGTTATAACTATAAATCAAATGATGTTTTTTATTCACCTAATTCATTATAAAGTTTTTTAACAGCTTTAAAACATTCCAAATTGAAATGGATAGTCTAGGGAACATACTGTATTAATGTACTCTACTGCATATAATTTGTAAACATTTACATGATTTGTACACTTTGAACTCCCTTTCAGGCTGAAAGGGACTGACAAAATTCATACCGAGGGATTGTCTAAATTCCACTCTAATATATATTCTATTGTCTTTGTCTAAATTCCACTCTAATATATATTCTAATGTCTTTGTCTATAGTACTATAAACTAAAATATACATAGTTACAAAAAAGTCTTAAACTAAGGAAAATTGAACGGAAGATTTTTTCAATCTTAACTCCTCTTATAGAAGAACTAAAATGTTTTTGAATTTCTAATTTTTAACAAAATAAATTAGATTTTCTTAGATTTACTTTTGCGTAAAATCAATCCTAGAGCCTGTACCAGAATGTCGTATGAAGGAATTAAATCTTTGTCCCAAACTCAGAGTTTATTTCAATATAACTTTGAATTCCTTTAAATCAAATGATCTAGCTTTAAATACCAGTTTTACACCATCAGGTTGCAAAGATATAGAGATAAGAAAATTTGAGTTTCTGGCAAAAATTCCTTTAAAGTTCTTCGATCTATTCAGTATATAATAACTGTGACAAATACTCACTTAAAATAAATTTTGCAATTAAATGTTTTCAATCAAAAGTTAGTCTTTTTCTCACTTTGCTCTTAAGAAGAAAAAAGTTTTAAATTTCAAATATGCAAACAAAATATTCTGATTTTCTCGTACTAGCCCGTTTGCGACTTTTACATTTTTATATCCAGTGCAAAAAGAGAGGTATTAAGTTGTTGTCGATTATATTAATACAATGAAGACGACTTTTTAATTTAAGTTTTGACTGTTAACAAGAATATTTTGAATTACAAGTTTTTAAGCAATCAAAGAAAAGTTTTATTAATTGACAGTTTCTCTTGACTTTTATGTTTATGTGTATCAATGCTGTTTAACAGCTTAATATACATAAAAATTTAAAGCGAGAGTCGTCTACATTGTTTTGATATAATCGCTTACCATCGTAGCTGTGATGGGTAAGCTTGGCGACTAAAATCGAAAAATGTTCGCCGGCTTTGCTAGAATTCTCTAGTTGAGTGTTGAAGGTTCTAGTTCTAGTTTTTCAGGAAGGGGCGGGATACAAAGCGAAGTGCCTGGGGAACACCATGGGAGAGCTTTCTCAAGTCTCAGCAAGGTTTCCGGTAATTATAGTTTTAAAAAATCTAGATTAGGCATTGATCTCCATATCCACAATATCAATACTAATTACAAGCTCTGATGTCTAATACTTTTGATATTTCAAACTTTTAACTCGTCAGATCAAATATTCTAAATTAGGAATGTCAAAGGTTAACATATGTCATCTGGTTGTAAAAAATATGGATCAGAAAATTTGAGTTTGTTGCAAAAAATCAATTCCTTTGAGATCAACGAGGTTATAGTATATAGAGTGATGATGTACGCTAATCCTTTACTAATTGTACAGGCCATGTACTCCACTTCCAAAGGTCAATCTGTATAATACTGTACTCGGGGGTTATTTCTGAAAATATTTAGTTAGGAGAATTTGTTTTTCATTTAACTATTGAAATCCACTACAGCTTTATCGTGTGCAGGATTACATTTTCACAGGAAGACGTAATATTACAGTCTTTTGCAGAGTAATATTTCATCAATAATAAATGGTTCTGAGAAAACTGAGTAAAATTCAAGATGCAAAACCTCCCCATACACTTTTACTCCGAAAGCATACTGCATATTTGATGTATGTACTGTATGATTTTTTCATTTCACCGAATGGGCTGTAATTTTTTAAAGGAACTCATGGACAACGGCGGGCACAATTCAGCTAGTCTATTATATAATTATTTTTAGTTTAAATGATGGGGATAACAACTTCCTAAACAATGCCGTTATGTACAAGAGAGGAGAAAGAAGGCATATCCAGGTAATACTTTTATTTACAATTTACTTAAATAATTGGTATCTCTAACATCATCCAAATATCTAAATTATCCCTTTCAGCTAATTTTGCATCTATATTCCTTAATCTTGTTGCATTAAACGTACAGGGTAGACTCTTCTCTTGAAAGCTAGACTGGACAGCACGACTGAATGCGAATACAGTACATGTTGTACTGAATACAGTACATGTTGTACCGGCTCGGATCATACAACTTTTAGTTTGGGTAATATTTTGATAGTTAACATGATATAAATTGAAACTATTTTAGGAACTCAATTCTGTTCCAATGATTGGTAAAAGAGATCCTGAAGTTTACAGTTTCGATGAAGATGATGATAGCAACTGGGATTATGACAACTGGTTTGCCAACTTTGATAACGAGGACTGGGATTCTCATTTTCAGGAGGACGGACCAATCTTTGCTGACGCATCCCTGGTAATTTTTTCTTAATTTTTTTAAATTCTTTAATCGTTTTGACCATTCGTTTCCTGATTCAGACAGAGTGAGTAAATTAAAAGAAGAGTTTTATTTACTTACAGGAAAAAAACAATTTACATTTTTTTTACTATCAAGACCCCTTCTTTTTCTTGATTCTTCTGTCTGATCATGCATAATAATTTGTGTAGTACCCCCCCGTTGTGGGACCCCATTACAGAACAATCCTCACTCGGGTTCAGTAGTCATCCCCAGACCTCACAGCAGATCCAATCCAACAACAGAACGCGGCACTCTCGCTACCGGTGACTCATCCAGCAACCAGCCGACTCGACGCAACTGGTTTAGTAGGATGAGAGCCTTATCTGGCGTTCCACCCAAAAACTTCGGCTCTCATTTCTGGATGCTGGATACAATGTAATACTATTAATTGATTATTATTATTCATTAATAATTGTTTTATTAATGATTAAATTTAAACTTTTTTGTCATAAACTAAATTTGGTTTAATGTTTATAGTAAGCATTGCCAAAAATGTTTTCTCAAACTCTTATTTATTCACAATTGTTTATATGATGCAACAAAATTTGACATAATGTGACGTGAAAATGTGATGTGAGTTTACGCATGTATGTTTACAAAATAAGACGTTGTATGTAATTTATTTAATAAAGATATGAAATTACTGATGTTGATTATTGCCTATATGTGTTCTGCAGGTCCATATTTTGGTTTTATACAATGAAAAAACCATGGAATGGGAATACGACTTAAGTTATGATTTCAACAAGAGAAATCGCAATTGAGCAGTGTAAACAGATCCATTTTACTAAATACAAGATTTTAGGCTCCTATTTAAAAACCTCTGAAAGATTGCTGTATAATGTTGCTTTCCAGTGTATTTAACATAGATGTAAAAATCTAGAAAAGAAAAATCTACATAAATTATCTGCTAATAAAGCTTTAAATGTTGCTTTGCAGAGAAAGAGCCAAATGGAATAAATCTCACATTAAACTTTTGTAATTGAATTTAACTTATTAAACAATAAGAACTAAATTACAAGTTTTACCATTAATCATTATCTGATCATTTGGTAAAAAAAATATTTCACATATGTATGTATGTATTATGCATGCATTGATAAAAACTTTTTAGCTATATTCCTAAAGGTTAAAATTATATTCTATCAAAGTTTTATTTGACAAAGATTGGTTGGATTTTCGAATAAGACTCCCTTGATCATTAAAACACGATTGTTTTTGCTTTTTAATTTTTTCAGAGGTTATACAAAATGTGTAACAGTTACAGTAGAATTTTCTCCGAGTAACAGAGTGTGCACTGCACAGTGCACCTATCAAATCTATACATATATATACTCTGCTTGTCTGTCTGTCTTTTTGTCTGTTTGTATCCAATAAACGTCAGAACGACTGAACCGATTGAGCCAAAATTTTATGTGGGATCTGACATGACCCCGGGAAAGGTGTATGGATGCTCAGAATACAAAAGTTGAATCCGAATGGTTTTAATATTTGTGAAATTTTAAAATTGCTCAAAAAAGTATTTAAAAATCAGTGAACGTTTTTGTTATTATTTTATACTGTACAAAAAGAAGATTGTTGTCGGATAGAAACAAGATTCTCAATGATGAACAGATAAACAACAGTATAATCCTCAAATCAAAACCGATAATGAAGAAACTCTTTATTTCCTAAAAAAATTATATAAATAATAACATATAAAACTGTTACAATGAATGTTTATAATGAAAACATTCTTACGATCTATTTTCTGATATCAAAGGGTTAAGTAGTTGGACAGTACTAAAACGTCTTTAAACTTCTGAAAAGAATGACAATTAATTATTAACGAAAGTCACTACTTCTTTATGAGAAAATATTCTTTGTTTAGCTTTTGAAAAATGGATGGATTCACAATGCTTTAGGTTATTTACACTCCGATAGGGAGAACAAAGAAACCGGATTTGGTTTGGATTTTAGTGTCTCCGAGAGGGGGGTCTAAGTTAAAGACGACTTTACACGGATCATAGTTAATGGTTGACAAAGATGCTCACAGATAGAGCCACAATTAAAAGTTTAAATAAAGGACGGGGCTTCCCTAGTAAATCTATTTCCATTCTATGCCACTAATTGCAAGATTTATACCCTACCCTTGGGTTTAAACTTCTCAGATACTGACATCTGCTTTCTGCAACAGCTAATTAGTTACAACAAAATCCTAATTAACAAATCTTGCACTCCGAAAAAAAAATTATAATATATTTTTCTCCATCAGTAAAAAGATAAAATACATGCAAGAAGCTTCAAACTGAGAAGTTATGCATGATTTAATAAATGCTTCAGTAGTTTTTACATTCTGAGGATGATATTCAACTGAAATTTTTTTTTGCGGATTTCCTAAGTTTGCAGATGTTTTGCTTTGGGTCGGTTTTGCTAATGAAGTGTTTAATGTTCCCTGAACATAGTGAAAATATAGCTTTCTTTAGATATATGTGTATATGTATATTCATATATCTATATATATATTTATATATTGCACAAGAAAGCCAATAGATACAGTTTGAAATCCGTCAGTTTAACTTTCTCTACTGTACACTGTACTGATGGTGCACAGAGGATAAGGAATTACAGATTTAGCCAGTTATCATTTTATATATTAAACAACGCGTCGGAATATTTAAGTATATATGTATGTATTTATGTTACCTATAGCCGGTTACCCGCATCACTAATGGGGATGTAGGCTATGTAGCTTTTAAAAAAGTTGGCCCCTGGGACGGTAACATCATATTTTTTTTTCAGGGAGAAAGGAAAATGGGGCAAAACAATTTACCATCCTGCAACCACCCGTTTTAGAGTTAGACATAAAATGAACAAAATGCAGTTTA